CCCAGGAAGTTGACGATGGCTGCTGTTGAATAGCTGCCCTTCCTCTTATAAGTTCAAAATTAAGGGGGGGGGGCTACGCTCAGATAGCCCATCTTGTAGCAGTGCGCGAGAATATTGGTCAGAAAAATTTGAAAAACATTGGAAGTTTGAGGTGATTTCAATTGGTACACCTTTATCAACGGCTGTCGTATCTCGACAGTGTGTTAATAAGGTGGCCGTTTTTTTTTTTAAGTGGGTGTTAATAATTACTTGACAGGGTGTTATTTTACGCTTTAATCATTAGCCAGTTCCTTGTTTAACCTTTTCTAAGATTATTCGAAACCACTATGAAAAACATTTGGTTAAATATAACCAGGTGAAAGTGGATGACCTTGTTAACAAAGTTTGTCTTTTTCCTCCTGGTCTGTGGGATGGTTATCAGACTGCCAGAGGCTACTGAAACAGTTGGGAGTATCTGGGACTACGGAAAGCTTCCACCTATACGGCAGGTGGGTGGACTTGTATTAGATTCAACCAGCTAATTTCCTCTCAATTTTTTTTTTGGGGGGGGGGAAGCTATACGTGATTACAAATATTTGCGCCACGGGGTCTCCAACTGCGCCGGGTTAAAAGGATTGGCTCTTGTAACCCTCTCTCTCTACTTAGTTTATTAAGTGGGATATAGGGGGGTTGTAAGGCGCCAGCGTGACGTCTAGCACCAGCTGACGCCTCGTGTTGACGGCACACGTGCATTTACTGGGTTTAACACAGAACCGATATTCAGTCGACTATAAACCAGTGACCAAAGAGGAAAGGCTTAGTGACACTTCACAGTATACGGATATTACAAGTACTCGGGGAAAGCTTGATAGCAGGGTTTGTGGTAAGAAAAGTTCTGTATTGTAAGATTTGATTTAGTTTTACTCCATCATTAAGTGGTCTAAACTATAAGATTTAAGTTTTTTTTTATCAACACCAAAGATTAAACTCAATACTTCCATATTATACTGTGTAATTATAAATGATCAAATATTTCACGGACTTTAAATTTGAGGTTTAATAATGCAGAATTGAAAGTGTCGTATAATAATGGCTGAAAAATGTCTCAAAGTGGGTTCCTCGTCGCCGAATTTGAAAGTGTCGTAATTCTAATTTACGTGTTAGTACTTGTTTCTCGACGTTTAAAGTATTTAAGTAAAAATTACGACCGAAGGTTACTTGTAAACATTCACAAGTAATTCTTCCAAACGAAAAAACGATCGTTAACTTTCTTCTATCCTAACTAATTTTTAATTTTTGTTTGCTGTCAGTGTAATCACAGAAGACGTGTGTCTCGTCAATGAATGAATAGTTGTCTGGGCTGTGATCTATATATGGTGACACAGTTCCTTGCAAGACGGGAAAACCAAGAAACACTATATTTATGCAAGCTTAAGACATTTCACTAATTCACAACGGCTCCAACAGTATGGTGTGTATTGCATAAGGAAACACGTTCGTGTTTCCTATTTTAAACTTTTTTTTTTTTAATATTAAGATAGTGATAAATAAGTACTTTGTGGAATATTAGGTAGATGGTAGGATTAATATTTGGGGGGGGGGGCATGTAGCGGGGCTACAGTTTGTGTTTGCCGTTTAGTGTAATGTAACCACCAAGTTAAGTGTAATGGATGGTTAGTTTAATGTAACCACCAAGCTACGTGTATCGTTACTACTAATTTTAATGTAATGTATGGTTAGTTTAATGTAACCACCAAGCTACGTGTATCGTAACTACCAATTTTCATGTAATGGATGGTTAGTTTAATGTAACCACCAAGCTACGTGTATCGTAACTACCAATTTTAATGTAATGGGTGGTTAGTTTAATGTAACCACCAAGCTACGTGTATCGTAACTACCAATTTTAATGTAATGGGTGGTTAGTTTAATGTAACCACCAAGCTACGTGTATCGTTACTACTAATTTTAATGTAATGGGTGGTTAGTTTATTGTAACCACCAAGCTACGTGTATCGTAACTACCAATTTTAATGTAATGTATGGTTAGTTTAGTGTAACCACCAAGCTACGTGTATCGTAACTACCAATTTTCATGTAATGGATGGTTAGTTTAATGTAACCACCAAGCTACGTGTATCGTAACTACCAATTTTCCTGTAACCACCAAGTTACGTGCAACTTTACATGCATGTACAGATCTGCTTATCTCCTCCACGTAATTATTCCCGGCGTATGTACCATGATGTATTTTTGAATTGCGACGTGTAGTTTGGTACACGTACCTTACACGTGGACGAGATAAAGTCGAACATAAGCCTTAATGTCATGTCAGAAGTACCTCAAGAATCTGGTTAACATCAGTTGCTAGTCCCAACCCCACGGATCAGAAACTCGATTTGCCTATATGCTTTGAAAGTGCTGCCCAACTCAGTCCCCTCGTTTATATACGTACTAGCCGCCACCCGCAAAACATGTGCAGTAATTTTCATGCCCTTCGCTTAAATTTTCCTTATTCTATCATTTTCACGCACGCCATTTAAGCTACGCTTTCTTGCAGGCATTTATGTGTTAGATTGATAAATCCTCGTCTGTTTGAAAAAAAAAAAATATATATATATATATATATATATATATATACACACACACACACTTATACACAAACAAGCTCGTGCAAACGTAACTTTATTTAATAAAACTACACGTAAACTAAACAATATAGTAATGGTATTTATAATAGTGTATAGAGTATGAAACAATTAAGCTCGTTCAGTTTATCACACGGTTTTACGAGTTGAAACAAAGAATAAAAGCTCATAGTAAAGTGAAAAGTAGCTAAAAGGTGTTTATAACAGTCTATAAAACGATCCAAAGCTAAATTATTGTAAAGTAAAGTAATTGTAAAGTTTTAATGAAGGCAAACTTAGCTAATCATGCAGAAACGTCTGAAAGCATGTTCCCAAACTGATAATTATATGGTTTTAACGAACTGTGCATGCCTATTTTAGACATAAATAAGGCGAGAAAGCATATAGAAATTATAATTAGTGTAATGTTAATTTTTTTTAGGAGATTACACGAGGGTTCAGGGTTATTTGTGTGAAATACTTTACAAATAAAAATATTAAAGTTGAAATCGAAGCCAGTCGTCACGTGATACAACGACTTTGTGTCATCGTGTACCATACTCATTGCATTGAAAAGTTTGACTAAACACTATATATATACATACACACACACAAGTTCGGGACAGACAAACGCAAGCGTATTATTTATTTAGATACTTGTGTGAAATATAGTTGACCCGAGTTTGTCCGTTATGTGTTTATATGTAACATATGGACAGGTGCGTGTGTTTTTCAGCCAACACGTGCTGCTTTAAGGCTATCATTAATATTTCTGTGACGATTGAAAAAGTTTGCGAATTCATGAAAAAAAAAAACTGTTTGTGGAAGTTTTCTAGAGCGAGCAGTATTATGAAATATAGACAGTTCTGTCAGTTGGTAAAATTATCGAGTAGAACATTAATGTAGACAATAAAAGCATCTCTCATTCGACGAAGTATTTATTCTACTAACAAGCTTAAAAGCTTTTCAAGGTCTTCCTGCGATCTGATAAGGCTTAACATGCACGTTCAATTAGTACGAGTACAGCTTCAACTCAAACAGTTCCATTGTTTCAGAACGGATTTATATTGTGAAATTTTGAAGTTTTTTTTTTTTTTCGAGAAATAATAATAATTCAATTTAGGGAAAAACAAATTTAGGAACTTATATTTGTAATGCAGTGATACCACTGAGCCACCAAGGGATTCGTTATAGCGAGAGTTAGAAGTATTCAGTGAATTCTCCAAATCACAAATATGTTTAAAAAAAAAATTGAGTCAACTGATACATCAAGATCAGTTCGGACGTTGAAAATCGTACGATCTCCAGACATCCAGGGTTGTATTGCCTGCATATTTCATGTATGACTCGCGATATATTTGTTTTCTCTTTGGCCGAGTATCAAAGTGAAGATTTTTCTGTGAACGTAAATAAAATCACGATCTAGATCTCCAGAATATAACTTCATTAGCTCAACATTTCACTGTTTCAGCTTCGTCAGGAGCTGTCGATATCCTACAAATTTACGTTTGTAAAAAAAAAAAATGTCTCATAATAAACTCCAGTTTACGTTAAACAAAGTTGAGAATAATAAAGTGAAAACATTGTTTCAAACTCCATGAAGTGTTTTCTAACACCTTGTTTAGCTCGGGTTTTGGCCCGGCATGGCCAGATGGTTAGGGCGTTCGACTCGCAATCTGAGGGTCGCGGGTTCGAATCCCCGTCCCACCAAACATGCTCGCCCTGAAGTGTTTTCTAACACCTTGTTTAGCTCGGGTTTTGGCCCGGCATGGGCAGATGGTTAGGGCGTTCGACTCGCAATCTGAGGGTCGCGGGTTCGAATCCCCGTCCCACCAAACATGCTCGCCCCTTTCAGCCGTGGGGGCGTTATAAGGCGACGGTCAATCCCATTATTCGTTGGTAGAAGAGAAGCCCAAGTGTTGGCTGTGGGTGGTGATGACTAGCTGTCTTCCCTCTAGTCTAAATTAGGGACGGCTAGCGCAGATAGACCTCGTGTAGCTTTGCGAGAAAGTAAAATAAACAAACTTCTCCTCATCCACACAACTATAATAACTGTGATGAGGTAGAAGATGAAAACACAGGGTGCTAAAAATGCGAGTTACATTTCTAAGTTAGCCAAACTCTTCTTATCATCTTGTCATCCGTTGACATCTGAACGTTCGAAATTAAACCTATGGTTACACTTGCTTCCAGAATATCAACTTGTGTTTCTTGAACAAAATTGACGTTTTTCTGAGAAATTGGTATTCTCTAGGCTTAAGTAAAATATATAAATAATCAGATACAGCCTAATGTTAAAGTAGTTTTGTGGAAAGTTCGTTTCAGTCCTAAGTGTGTTATCGAGTATACTCGACGTCTTTCTAATGTGATTAATAATGTATTTTTTTTATATAGCGTCAAATTGAAAAGGGTAACGACTTAATGGAAGAAGCTTCCACGTTGGAATCGCCATCAGCGGCCCCTATTGGTGGAAACCGTGAGATACAAGCTCTGACGTCTTCTCTGACGGAACATCTTCACGAATTTACGGACCGTCTTGAAGACACGCGAGAAAGGCTGGAGGACAGTGCCAAATGTTTCGGTCTTCTAGATAGGGTAATTAATTTGTTGACGTTTATCTCACTTTTATTCTACTTTAGTCTTAAACTGTTTTTCACGATAACTAGAAATCACGAATAATATAATTTAATAAAACTATGAATTAAGAAGTCTGGAATTTTATAGGTCAGATAAATGAAAGATTTCATTATTACTCTTTCTCGTTCAATATATCTGACAAACTATTGAGTGTGATGTAACGACAGTTTATAAACATTGGACAATAACAAGTTCAGTTTTCAAGTATTTATGGCTAAGCTACTTAGGCTATCTGTCGCCGCCCTTAATTTTGAACTACTGGCCAGAGGAAAAGCAGCACCCTACTACCCATCATACAGGCTAAGGAACTGACCGTCACTTTTATAACGCACCCAAAGCTTAAAATGCGGATAATATTTTATGGTGTCTCACGTATTCCGATCCAGGTCGCCATCTCCAAAATCCAGAGCTCTGGATTTTTGGTTTGAATTTCGCGCAAAGCTACACGAGGGCTATCTGCGTTAGCCATCCCTGATTTAGAAGTGAAAGACTAGAGGAAAGGCAACTAGTCATGACCACCCACCGCCAACTCTTGGGCTACTCTTTTACCAACGAATAGTGGGATTGACTGTCACATTATAACGTCCCCTCGGCTTAAAGGGCGAGCATGTTTAGTAGAACGGGGATTCGAACCCGCAACCCTCAGACTGCGAATCAAGCGCCCTAACCACCTAGCCACGCCGGGCTGTTCAGAGCTCTATCACAGGGCTAACCAGAGCCCGTCAATATTCAACAATGAACTACTGTAAACATTTGGTGAGTTTTAAACCTTTGTAGTAAAATTAACATACATTCATAGGGGTATCATCGTTAACATGTAGATCATAAACGATAAGGAACATAAAAACTATGGGGGAAAATGTTTTACGGATAAGCAAAAAAAATTTATCAATAATATTAAAACTGTAAAAGTAAAATCCTCTAAAGTTCATATTCAGTTGTCAGTCAGCGCACTCTGCGTTTTCAGATAGCCCCCTGTGTAAATGTTTCTTATATGTGTTCTCAATGAGGTAGGGTTAGTGGTACTGTTGCGTCAGCGAGGTCACGTGACTAGTATCACGCCACTTCTCTCGAACCTTCGTGAATTATCGGGAGACTACTAGATATGTGTTAGAGTAATTGAACTGCAGTCAGAGAGTATTGTTGAAGTTGAGCGCGTTCGTTGTTATAGAGCGACTGTTGAAAATAAGTGTATCGGTAAAGTTATATTCAGAAAGAATAAACCAGTTTTATTAAGAAAGGACTTGTGTCGCTAAAGTTCATGGGAACGAAGTTACAGAAAATCAACTAACGAACGGAGACGTAACAGTACGTTACTGCGAAAGCATATTTCTTTAAAATTCAGAAATTGTTTGAAAAGTTATTTAACTATCATAATATGACAGAATCAGACATTTCATCTTTTACTTTATTTACCTGTGGAATGACAACAGAAATTAAGTCACGAGATTTTGTGCTGTTGGTAACATCAACATTACAAGAAAAGATTCACCTATGATCGAAGTGTAAAACCGACAGTAAGTTCAAGCGTTTCAAAAATAAACTACGTGAACTTTTTACTTCACCAACGTGTTCTAATTGTGTCTTTTGATACGTAGGATCCGAACTGCCAAAATTCAGTACAGTATTTTATGTTTTAATGCATTGATTACTAATACTAATAGCCTTATTAAAGGCTTTTACTAATCTTATTACAACTAACCTTCTCACTTATTGTGTTGTCACTGCTTACATTTTTAAAACTTTTTCCTTCTTTTTTTAGGCCTACGAATGGGCAGTTGGGACCATGAAATTCGTGTCTAGTCTTAAGACTGACAAAACAACAAATCCGAACTGCCAAAATTCAGTACAGTATTTTATGTTTTAATGCATTGATTACTAATACTAATAGCCTTATTAAAGGCTTTTACCAATCTTATTACAACTAACCTTCTCACTTATTGTGTTGTCACTGCTTACATTTTTAAAACTTTTTTCTTCTTTTTTTAGGCCTACGAATGGGCAGTTGGGACCATGAAGTTCGTGTCTAGTCTTAAGACTGACAAAACAACAAATCCTAAAGAACTTATACATTTAACCAAAACTCTTCAAGATTATGTAGACAATAACCCGCCAATCAGAGAGGAGACATTCCAAGAGATGATAGACTTGGCTACAAGACTGGAAAATGAAAACTTGCTTGATCAGTGTAAGGTAAGTGTGGAAACAACTTGCACTGTTGACTTTAATGACTAACATTTAGAAAAATTAAATCTGATTGAAACTGTACTGATGCACTGTAAATTGTAATCAGATATTGTTAATTCTTACATAGTCTAGAGCAATGCTGAAAAAACTGACCGAATCTGGCTATAGCCAACCCTGACATGGGTCATATAGAGCAGTAATAAACTCTGAGTATAGCTAACCCTGTCATGGGTCATATACAGCAGTAATAAACTCTGAGTATAGCTAACCCTGTCATGGGTCATATACAGCAATAGCAAATTATACCTGGCTGTAACTAACCCTGATATGGGTCATATACAGCAGTAACAAATTATACCTGACTATAGCTAACCCTGACATGGGTCATGTACAGGAGTAAGAAACTATACCTGATTATAGCTAACCCTAACATGGGTCATATACAGCAGTAAAAACTATACCTGACTATAGCTAACCCTGTCATGGGTCATGTACAGCAGTAAGAAACTATACCTGACTATAGCTAACCCTGACATGGGTCATGTACAGCAGTAAGAAACTATACCTGACTATAGCTAACCCTGACATGGGTCATATACA